AAAAATATAGCTTCAAGCACAGATGCAATAAACACAACAAAGCGATACCACAGTGTCACATACATTCCGAAGCTGACCGAAAACTTCAGCCGCGATTTTGCACAACAACAAAACATTACACTTGCATATAAATCTAATTGCACATTATCGACTGTCTTTACAAAAACGAAATGCCCAATAGATGCTCAACAACAAAGCAACGTAGTTTATGAAATTAATTGTAAGGGAAAGAAGAACGAAGAATGCGGGAAGGTGTATATAGGAACAACTAAGCGAGCCCTAGGCACGCGCTTAAACGAACATGAAGCAGATATAAAGAAACAAAAAAACAGTACAGCGCTTTCACAACACATGCGAACTACTGGGCACTCAGCAGATTTAGAAAACACCAAAATAATCGACATAGAAAAACGAGAAAAAACCAGATACACATTAGAAAGCTTAAGGATTTTGCAAAAAAGGGAAAACACAATAAATAAAAAAGAAGACACCGATGACATTTCTGCCGCCTACTTGTTATGCTTATAAAATTCAAATTTAGTTTTTAGTTTAGACAAAACTACCACAGAAGATGGTATCGATTTTAGTTGATTTAGTTAATTTAATGACGAATTGTTTGTGAGTACTTTTGTGTTTAATATCTTAGTTGTTCTACCGTGATTTTTATACGTAATTATGAATATATGTATATATGTTTATTTGTTCCTTTATTTAATATCATACATGTATTTATATTTTTTGTAGCAGATAACTAAATAAACACGCCCCTGAAGATGCTAAGAAGATTAGCGAAACGTTAGGCCGTAAGTGAAATAACCTCGGATTATTTACACTAAATAAAAGAGATCAGACAAGCCTATCACAAATAAGTTTTCACAAATACAAACTCATCGGACATACATAAATAAATTAATTTTATTATGTTTATTTTTAGAAAAATTCTGGTACACATTGTAGCAATGTGCTTGCAACTCAGTGTGCTTTTGTATATTTTTATGTTGATTATTGATGCATACCGTGATTTGCTTGACCTTAGTTTGTCAGTCCAAACAGGAATCTTTATTTACGGTTGATGGATAGCTCGTTTCCAATGGACGGTGGCAAGAAAGTGGCTGACTTACGTGTAATGATTTTGTATTACCAGCTTATGGTGACTCAATTGCTGTCAAATGAATAGTCCAGATTTGATGCTCACAACTTCTTTATTCTACGTAACAACATGGCTGGGGATTTTCCGGAAGGAATGTGACGGCACCTTTTGCCTCTATTAACTCGATACAAGAAAAAAAGTCTTTTTACGATCAGCCTTTTTCCTTATATTTGCTTGGACGCAGTCGATTTCACTTTCCACTTTCCACTGAGGGGTGCGTATCGACTCCCCGAATGTCGCCAGCTTTTAATACAAGCTTTTAATACACTTTAATTACTTAGTTGAAATTCCGTTCTTGCCAGGGCTGATGAGTGTGGTTCGTTCCGTGTCCAATTCCAAAAAGGAAAAAAGGAAATATATTTTTCTGGCCTCGTGGTATGTGACCACCGATTCTTTTATCGTATGTCAGTGTGGGCGTTTTCATAGTGGCCATGTCATTTCGTGTCTATACTGATATAATGGTTCGTGTCTTGAATAACTATTGGTTACGTACATTCATCTGGCGATCCCCCCCATTTTGAAGTTTAGCTTTGACAGTTTTGTTATGTTTACATTTCCCATAATCGTTCTTATTAGAGCTGGGATACCATCGATAGTAATATCGATAGTATCGATAGTTGAAAACTCTCACCACTATCGATAGTTTTTGAAAACCATCGATGCCGGTTTTTAGAGAACCATCACAATATTTCCTCACATCTCTTCAAAACTTCATGGCTTGAGGCTAAACGCAATTGTAAGTAGAAGTAAAATTCTAAAATATTCATACATTACAGGGAATCACATTTTTAGGGAAATTTAAATACATTGGTGGTGGCGATTGGTGGTAAAAATGGTGAAATACTTGCAGCGTGAAAAAGGTAATGAAATGTATATAAAAACATATGTGCATAAAACATGTATGAGTAAGTAACTGCGTGTTTTTCTAAAATATGAATTGACAATTGAATATTGCATTTTAATACAGATGCGAACGATAATGCGGTTGCAAGCATAAATATCTCCGACTCTCCAGATGAAGAAAACAATGTGGCAAGAAAACCGCGTAAACAAGGTTCGGTAATATGGAACTTCTTCGAAAAATGCAAAGCAAATTCCAGCGCGAAATGTTGCACGTGTGGCAAAATTTATAAAACAAGTGGAAATACGTCAAACCTATTTGACCATATAAAAAGATCTCACCCGACTCAGCTGGAAACGTCAAATTCTAAAACTAATATTCATAGGTTCTTTAAACCAGCAGAATCTGATTCGTACCGGTATTATTCAGTGAAAAAGGGGCAAATTGATGCTGCGTTGGCGCGCATGATCGCCGTTGACGTGCAACCTTTTCGCGTAGTAGAAGACAAAGGTTTCCGCGAACTTATTGCAACTTTGGACCCTCGGTACAAATTGCCATGTAGACGTTCTTTAGAAGAAGTTCACATGAAAAATATGTTTTCAAGCTTACAAAAAAAGTTAAAGGAACTTTTAGCCAATATCGAGTGCTGCGCAATAACCACGGATGGCTGGTCTTCGCGAGGTAATGAGCATTATCTTACAGTGACTTGTCACTTCATAACAAGCGAATTAAAACTACAGTCTGCAGTACTGTCCACTACAAAACTGCAATCAGATGAAAATCACTCCGCAGATAATATTGCAGGGTCATTGCGCGCTGTTTTACATGAATGGGATGTGTTTGAGAAAGTTTCAACAATAGTAACAGACAACGTTGCAAACATGTTGAAAGCATGCGAAATTCTTCAGAAGAGAAACTTACCTTGCTTTGCACATTGTTTGAATTTAATAGCACAAGATACTTTATCTCTCGATTGTATAAAAGGCATAACAGGTAAATGTAAACGGATCGTAGCTTTCTTCAAAAGTAGCACAACTGCCTATGCTAAATTTAGGTCAGCTCAGGGAATTGAGAGACCCTATAGCCTAGTGCAAGAAGTATCTACGCGCTGGAACAGTGCATATAGAATGATTAAACGCATCTTACTAACGAAGGACGCTATTGCAGTTGTGCTGCTTAATACAACTAAGGCTCCAGCTGCATTGACAGCTGATGATATATGCATATTAGAAGATTTAGTAGACCTGCTAGCACCGTTAGACAATGCTACTACTCAGGTTTCAGCTAGCCAGTCTGTTACGGTTTCCTTACTTATCCCTACGGTAAGTGAGCTACATCAAAATTACCACGATTTATATAGCAAAATGAAAACAACTGAAGGAAAAAGTATTTGTTTGTTTTTGATTGAACGTCTTATTCATCGACTTTCAAAGTTTGAAACCCGAACAGTTACAAGGGTGGTAACATTACTGGATGCAAGGTTCAAAAAGGAAGGATTTCGGTCAGCAAACAATGCAGGTATAGCAGCAGGGATTTTGGAGAATGAATTAATTACAGTTTATAAATCTGCTTCAGCCGTTGATGAAAGGGTAATACCGCCAACACCACCAAACTTATCACAACCGCAACCTAAGTTCAAATTTTTACAACAAAAAATTGATTCGAGAGTACACACAACTAGATCAGATGCAATAACTGTACTACGACAATATTTTGAAAGACCCCACGCACCCCAAGACATAGACCCATTGGAATATTGGAAGGTAAATATTTCATTGAAAATTAGTTTTCTCATAATAAACTTAAGTTTCTTTTAGACCATCGGTAACGAAATGGAATTATTGAAGAGTTGTGCAATACGCTATTTCTGTGTACCAGCAACATCTACTGAATCTGAACGAATGTTCAGCAAAGCTGGATGTATAATTTCAGATAGAAGAACCTGTCTCAAAGAGAAAAATGTAAATATGTTATTGTTCCTTAACAAAAATAATTGGCTAATGTAATATGCCGTCTTGTTCATTAAAATCTGGACAGGGAAATTATCTATAGTTTACCCTTTTAGTTACACAGACGCTGGCATATTGGAAAATTGACTTCGCTTTTATTTCATTTTTTAACTTTTGTTATGAAGTACTGGTCAAAATAATACCACCATAACATTTTTACCAGCTTTGATTGGTTTATTTGTTTGTTTAATGGATCATTGGGATATTTAGCAACTACAAACTTGCACTGAATTAAATGTACTAAAATTTTATGTTCTATAAAACTGGTAGACAAAATTTCTGTAGATATTCGAGTTAAAAAGCTTAAATTTTGATAGAATATTGCTGATTATTTTTTCCAAAGGTTGAAAATTGGATTTAGAGCTATACATTTAAAAACAATAAATAAACAAAAAAAAACAGCCCAAACTGTAATAATTTTGTGGTGCTATTATTTTGACCAGTACTTTAATAAATTCCCTTGTCCGGATTTTAGTAGGCGCCTCCGTAATTGATCTCAGTTGAACTGATATACATAAGTATGTGTTGTCAATTTAAAGTAATATCTTTTGTTTTGTTTGTTTTTATAGTACTTAAAATGTATTATTATAACCATATTCTCTTCTTTGCACTTGAAAAAGGACAAACAAAATCTGATTTTTTTTTCCATGTAAAAAATTATTAAATATTTTTCCTGTCGTTATTCAAGTACTTGGAAGTATGTTCATAAGTATATTTAATTCAGATGGACTGATAAATTAACAAGTTAATTTTATTATTATAAGAAGTTCTTTTTGATTCATGAAATTAAAAAAAATATATGATATCTTTAATTTAAAAAGTAATTTAATAATTTTGTATAAATTTTCAAACAATTGAGCGTTCCAATTCAATGCTGCTACACAATGCGGCTCACGACGATAGTACTATCGATACTATCGATGTTTTAAACTATCGTTTCGAAAACTATCGAGTGGCGGTACTATCGATAGTATCCCAGCTCTAGTTCTTATGTCTATTATTTGGCCAATAAAAATAATAGATAGTTATCCCCCTCTCATCTTCAGCGACACGTTAACAAAAAAACCTGTGGAGCGTTTAGTAGGGATATGAGAATGGTGGTTCGAATGCGATTCACGGCCTGGACGTTAGACCCCTTACATCGAAATCGTTCTACATGATCTTCATCAACCCCATCCTGACTCGTTCAGTTCGCCTCTTAGCGCATATGTATGTACACATATTCCGTCTTTACAATTTAGTTTCAGTACGCATTACATAAGCTACGGTAGATGAAAGGCATTGGTAAATGATTTGGTTATGAATCTTTTCTTGTTTGCTTTGATCGATTTACTAGCAATGTACTGAGGATATAATATAACAAAACTATGGATATACAAAACTAAACTTAATTAATTTATTCAAGCCGGGTACCCTGTAATAAGGCAGAATCAATGGAGTATGGAAGCCCGCCATATATTCATCGAAATTCTTGAGAAGGCGAATGTACTGAATGAGTTAATGTGTTGTGATTAAATCGGCGGACTAATTGCCAAGCACTCGGTGTTTAGCATCGGTCAGTTCATATGAATTCGAACCAAGTTTCCGTGAAACATAGGCTCTAATTTTCGGTGGGGATAGTTTTTGTGTATAGCCCTCTCCGGCCATGGACTGTTTAGGATTGGGAATGTACACTTCCGAGCCTATCTCGAAATGGCGTTCTCTTTTACGGGTCAATGCCCGTTGTGCGGTTTGTTGATATTGTTCGAACTGTTTGTCTCGAATTTCATCAGCCAGAACTTTACGCGGTTCCACATCCTGTGTATGGTATGGATTTACATCCAATAATAATTTATATTCGTT